GCAAAAATATCCAGCAGCTTTTAATAACACGATTCAAGTATTGCTACAAGGTCTGTGACTGTCCCTCCAGCCCAGGGACACTGAGCTGGCTGCCTGGGCACAGAGTGATGCTCATGGGTGAGCAACTGGAATGGCTCCCAGGGACACGGGGACAGCCCTGGGGACAGCCCTGGGGACAGGCCTGGGAACAGGGACAGCCCTGGGGACAGCTCTGGGGACAGCCCTGGGGACAGCTCTGGGGACAGGCCTGGGGACAGGGACAGCCCTGGGGACAGCCCTGGGGCCAGCCCTGGGGACAGCCCTGGGGACAGCCCTGTGGACAGGGACAGCCCTGGGGACAGGGGACAGCCCTGGGGACAGGGGACAGCCCTGGGGACAGCTCTGGGGACAGGCCTGGGGACAGCTCTGGGGACAGCCCTGGGGACAGGGACAGTCCTGGGGACAGGGGACAGCCCTGGGGACGGGGGACAGCCCTGGGGACAGGGGACAGCCCTGGGGACACTCTGCTGCTCAGAAGCCAAACCCAGAGCACCCCAAGGCTCAGCAGCACCCTGTCCCTGCTCCCTCTGTCCAACCCCACCTGTTGAGGGTGCACCTCAGGAATCCCCACAGTCTGTGGTCCCAAACCTGCCCCTGTACCCCGTGCCCCACATCTCACACAGTGACAGAGCACAGAGGGTTTCTCCTCCCCTGTTTGAGGGTTCCTTGTCTGACCAAGTGGCCCCTTGGCAACCAGGCAGAAACGGGGCCAGCAGGGATCCCTGGGCACCCTCACTGCTGGGCACAGCACCTCTGCCAAGGGGAGCTGCTCCAGGTGACAGAGCTGCCCTCCCAGGGCACAGGGGACAGGAGCATTCACAGAACAAACCCCACGGAGCCCCTGCCCCCAGCACCAGCCCCAGGGTCCCACGAGCTCTCAGGCTCTGCCAGACAAAACCCCGGACAGCTCACATCACAGTGAAACAAATAAAGAAAAAAATAATAAATAAATGTAAAAAAAACCAAGGCAACGGATGGCTCGAGTCTTTGGCAGCTCTGGGTGCCAGGGCTGTCCCTGGGGAGGAACTGGAGCGAGGTGCAGGCACAGCAGGCACTGGGAGCACCAYGGCACTGCTAAGGAATGCCTCCTACCATGCTGCTGTCAGCTTTGGCTCCAAAGGAAGGGATTTCACTCTTGGGACTGGACGGGGTCCCCACATCTGGCTGGATAAATCCTCTTCTGTCTATCAAACTGGAAAAGAGGGGGGAAAGGAGATCAGGGAATGGACACTCAGGAGCTCTGGGGAGGGCTCTGCTGGGAGCAGGGTGCTGGGGCAAGGTCCCTGCCCAGCACACGAGCCAC